CTTTCTAAATATATCTAACTAAATAGTCTTGATTACCGCAAACATGATCGAAACCAACGAAGTTTAACTTGATCACCAATTTGAATTTCTCGCCAATAATCCTAAATATTATATTAAAATAATATTTATTCTTACAAAAAATGATCTATTCTACTTCGCCATATGGTTTATCAACACCACTAACAATAATATTTGGTCGAAAATTATATATTTTAATTGGATTTGTTAATCGTTTATTAAGATCATCGATTGATTCTAATGAACCTAAATGAAATGGACTCATATCGTGATATATTACGACATCTGAATCAAATGCTTCATTTGGAAATTCTGGTTCAATATTTTTTGTATGTTGTGGTTCAAATTGTTCATCAAAATAAATTAAATCTAAGTCTGGTTTTTCTAGAAATGTCGAAAACCATTTAGCAACTGTGCCACCATGTCTTCGACTTTTAACATTAATTTCTCTACGAAAAAAAAAATATCAACAAAAAAAGTTTTATTTTACTAAATATACTTTATTTCTATAATATCTTTTAGTAATGGACTATAAGGAATCATTAATGTTGTCATTCCGGATGCATCAACTTGAAGACCTGATGAAGTAAATGTTGGTTGAATTAATGCCATTCGAAGCATATGAAGTTGATCTAGTGGCCAGGCTCCTTGTATAATCATTCATCGTCTAAATAAAATAAACTTTATGATTTATTTGATTGTTTTTTTTTTTGAATATCAATGCATACCGATCGTAGAGTGAAGGATTTGATGGAAGTGAAAGATCATAACGAGTTGTTTGTGTTTCATTAACTTTAATAGCACCACAAGATATAATAGGCGAAACAAAGAAAACGGTTTCTTTTTTTCACGTTATCATTAGGTTAGCCAGCTCTTTCATTCGTTTATCATTATATGTGAACAACATATTCAATCAGAAATAAGTCTATATAATTTTCAGGATTTTTATCTGAAAATTGAATGAAGACTGAAATTAAAATAATTCTTGAAAAACGTTTCAATTATCAGTATCTGAAAAAACAGGAATCTAATAGAAGCCTGCCCTGTTAAAACTATCCACTTGGACATAATAATATACATAGGATCTTCTAATATAATGCTGCAAACGCTAGAAATAAATAAAATTATTATCAGATCTCTAAAGATAACCAGCTCAGAAAATCAAAACTTAGTTTTTTAACATTTACAAGTTTCTGTATGTCAACTGAAAAATGTAGCCGAGAACTCACAGACATCTTATTTATAGGAAACTATTTTCTGTATCATTCTATGTAGTCATAACAAAATTATATTTACTCGCTTGAGTTTTTAGTTCTGTGAAATCTCTATCTTTACAAATCATATAATAATTTTTATTTTCTTATATTCTTATTAGACATCGTTTTCTCAACTCGGATTACAATTAAGATTCTTTCCAGCGCTTAAAACAGCAGCAAATAAATCTTGTTGAATACTTTTTTTTTATCCACTTTATTTGAATAAATCCAAGTTTCTTCACTTGTCTTGTTTTTACATAAGAAAAATACTGACCTAAACTACATCAAGTTAGCTAATAGATCCGTACATTACATTTGATCTCATAATTTTAAAAAAGATCAACGTCTATAGTTATTTCGAAATAGGAATTGCGGAAAAACCCGTGATCAAGCAATGTCATCGAAGAATGGTATTATATATTTAACAGCTGTATGTCAATCAAATATTCTTCTTATTATTTAGACTTACTATATGTATCTTAAGTGAATAATTTAGATTAGAGATCGATATTGAAGTACTTCTTGCAGATGAATAACCAAAGCAAAGCAAAAAAACAGAAAAAGAAAAGCTAATGCAAATCTTGATGTTCGATTAAAAAGTATTGGACTGTCTTATGATATCAACAATTTTGAAGAATATAAATTTCCATTTGCTATGAATTTGAAAATAAGTATTTAATTTAAATGAAATAGAATTTATCTTATATTATTGTAATGAAAATGATTA